GTGTGTGTTTGAGAGAGGTGTGTGTGTGTGTGTGTCCTGAGACTTGAACTCAGGGCCTGAGTGTTGTCCCTGAGCTTTTTTGTCCAAGGCTAAAGCCTGATTTTTTTGATGGTTAATTGGAAATAAGGGTCTCCTGGGTACCAGTGGCTCATGCCTGTAATCCTAGCTACTCAAAAGGCTGAGGATCGTGGTTCAAAGCCATCCCAGGTAGGAAAGTCTATGAGACTCTTTATCTCCAATTAATCACAAAAAATGCTGGAGTTGTGGCTCAAATGGCAGAGCACTAACTTTGAGCCACCGGTGCCTGGCTGAGAGAGTATTCTAAAGGAGCTCTCAGTCTGACTCTGCAAGATAGTTCTTGACTTCTGGCCAACCTAGACTTCCTTGGGGAAAGGAGGAGGTTTGGGGCTTGGGACAGTGGCCCCAGAGGTATGAAACCTGAGCCTCTCTCCTTCCATGGCAAGGTTTTTCCAGATATGATAAAATGCAGTTTTCTTGGCATATCAGTTGAGCTGTAAGTATCCATCAAAGTGTCTTCTCAATGACACTGGGGAGATGACACAGCTGGGGAGGTGGCACGTGTGACCACAGAAGCAGGGATGATGGGGATTAAACAAAATACTCTCCATGTTTGCATTGAGCACCTACTATGGGCCATGAGGCTCGGGGTAAAGCCAGAAACACAGCACTGCTGAGCTGGTGAGAGATTGTGTTCTGTGTGCAGGGGAGGTAATGAAAACTGAGTTAAGTATGTGATGATGACGTCAGAGCAATGGAAATAAGATGGGGTGAAGATCGGGAGTGCCACGCCGACTCCAGTGGAGTCTGCTTAGCATGGGAAACCATCTATCAGACCATGATAGGGGCTTCAGAGACCTATCTCTGAGTTTTGGGACTTCACCGAAGTCTACCTCGGAGAATAGGGCTTCTAAGAGGCCTACTCCTGGAAAGGCTGGCAAAGATGTGTTTCTGCCTTTCTTTTCCTCATAAGAGTGCCTACTAATCTTTTACTGTTTCTACTGCTCTTTGTACTTGCTCATTGTCAACGTTTCCCTTATTTAAAGCTCTTTCTTAAGAGTGTTGACGACTCCAATATCTGATGAGTGTCTTAAAAATATGACTAACTCACCGGAGTTAAGTGCTACCCTGAAACCCCCTCTTATGGAGGCTAGTAGAAAAGCCATAAGCAAATATAAAAGTATTGGGGGTTTCACAAAGTCACTTCAGCAGAAGGAATTGTTTGTAAGAGATTTACAAAAAGCTGTAGGCGCGGCTAGAACAGAAAGAATGTATGGCAATTGCTGAGATAACTACTTAGGAGAAAGAACTTCCTATTACTCTTTCATTTACTAAGAGACTTGCTAGATCTAAGTCTCCTTGGTGTTTACTATTAAAGAAGGAACAGAAAAGATCTTATGGGATGGTTAAGGCCTCTATAGAAATAAGGTAATGGTTAGTTGGTGACAAACATCAAAACCCATTATATTTCTTAGAGATAAGCCGGAAACAAGTGCCTATCAGGCGACCAGCTGGTGACCACCCAAGAATGAAGCCCTGCAGCAAGGTTGTGTAACCTTTTGCCCTTTCAGGCGATCAGCTGGTGACCGCCCAAGAATGAAGCCATGCAGCAAGATTATGTAACCTTTTGCCCTTTCTTATGGAGACTTTTTGCTATAAAAGTTTGTTATCCTCGGCATTAAATCGCACTCAGCGCTCAGCACTCAACATCCACTCCTAATGTCTGTTTGCCATCTCCCCATCCTATTCCAGGTTCCTCCCCTAGGTATCCTCCGTCGTCCCGACAGAACCCGGTCCGCGGCACGGGAGGATCAGGAAAAGTCCCCAGGAGGTAACACTGCAGAAAGCTGCTATTGGGATGCAGAAAATTCCAGAAAGTCCCCAGGTGTTTGTGTGCACCACTGAATCTAAGCAGGTGGCAGCCATCAGGGGTGAGACTTGGGCATCTCCTTAGCCTGGTCTAGTACAGTTAGGTTCACCCTGTCACCAGCCCTGCAATGTGTTACATGCCAGCTGATTACAGATGCTGGGGTCGGGAGGGAAGGGTTTTCTGGCCAAATTGATTTGGGAACTGCTGTGGAAAACTTGTTCCTTCAGCTTGGCCTCACCTCCTGAAGTTTCCTGAACACCCCCAAAATAACACCCCCAGCTGGAGACCAAGAAGTAAGCACCTCCCAAACCCTACCACCAGCCATGGCCAGCTCCCAGCACCTGAGAACCTAAGCGGGAACTAAAAGCACAGAGACTGGAGGCTCCAGGTCTCAGAGCCACTGAGACCTTCCAGGTTCTCCTAATGGAAACTTCTGCCTCTGGCGGGAAGCAGGAGTGCACACTAAGAAGCTCGCATACACTGGAGTCCTTTAACACACAAGTTTTGCATCAAGTTTCCTCAGGGCCGGCCAAGCTGTGTCTACCCACACTGCCCATCCAAGTAACACCAAGGCCTCCGGGCCCCACAGCTCCAAGCGCTCAAGGATGTTAGTTGGATGGAAAAATGGGTTGACTTGTCTATTTTCTGCTGCTGTCACAAAGTACCAGAGACCAATGAACTTAGAAAGCATAGAAGTTCTATGGCCACAGTTGTGGAGGCTGGAAAATCCAAGAGTGGCATGGTGCCTGAGTCTGGTGAGGATCTTTGCTACATCATGGCATGGCAGAGGTTGGTGAGGATCTTTGCTACATCGTGGCATGGCAGAGGGCATCGTGCATCAAGGCAGAACTGTGTGCCAAGAGAGCTCACAGTCATCACAAGCCACTCCTGTGGGTGATAAGCCACGAGTCCACTAATCCACAGACCCATGAACACAGCTCATGGCCCAGCCACATTCTATAGGTCCCAGCTCTCAACACTACCGCACTGAGGACCCAGCCACCAGCGCTGTAGCCCTAGCACCACCCAACCCCAGATGGCACGGAGGTGACCGGACATTCCTAGCCCCCAGGGAGGCTGTTAAACAGCAGCACCAGCACTAGACACGTTCCCTCAGGCCAGTGACTGTCCACCAGGATTGTTTTGGCCTTGGCAGAGTTACAGTATAGGGAGTGGGGGGGTAGGGGAGTGCAGTACTGACATCTAGTAGGCCAGGCTTCCTACATGTCTGTGACTGTATCCACAAGAAAGAATTACCCTGTCCCAAAAGCCTGGACACAGGAGTCTTTCCTGCCGTTGCAATCCCAGTCCCAGCGTCTGGCCACCCAGTCCCAAATCCATCAGACAGAAACAGGAAACCACCATCCCCACAGGTCACCCAGTCTGCCTGACTTAGCACTGCTCTTCCCAACCTGGCTCTTAAGCTGGACGCTGGTGGCTCATGCCTGTAATACTAGCTACTCAGGAGGCTGAGATCTGAGGATCCTAGTTCAAAGTCAGCCCCAGCAGAAAAGTCCATGAGACTTATCTCGTTAACCACCAAAAAAAACCATGAGGTAAAGCTGTGGCTCAAGTGGTAGAGCACCAGCCTCGGGCAACACATGAATCAAGTTCAAGAGTACCGATACTGGTATGCACGCGCATGCACGTGAATACAGTTTTGAATATAGTTTTGTTTGCCAGTCCTAGGGCTTGACCTCAGGGCCTGGACACTGTCCCTGAGCTTCTTTTGCTCAAAGCTAGCCCTCTGCCACTGGAGCCACAGTGCTACTTTGGGCTTTCTCTGTTTATGTGGTACTGAGGAATGGAACCTAGGGCTTCATGCATGCTAGGCAAGCACTCTACCACTAAGCCACATTCCCAGCCTGAATACAGTTTCCTTATCCCTCCTCCATTCCAGAA